TTAAATACTACTGAAGTGATAATCCAAACAGTTAAATTAATCTGCTAATTGTTTCAGATCTTGAGTTTATTAGCATTGCATTTGAGCAATCACTTTGAGGCTGGATTATCTATCATTGGGCAATGTGTGATACTGCTGTGGGGCCCGGAGAGCCAGTTCTTTTGTTTGCCACACATGCATACGAACATGTTTACACATATGTACCACTAAAGCACAATATAAGATCAAATGGCAAGAACAGGTGCTGCACTTTTTTAAAGGATTTTTTACATGTTTGCCTTTATTGGACAGTTTAACCGTGTGGATAAAGACAGAAAGGTCAGACATGGAGTACATGTGGAAATCAAGCCACAGATGTTGCATTTATAAGTTCTGGAGTCAAGTGTCGTCCCCATGAGGTCACCAGGATCTTTAACCTTATCTTGAGGCCCTGTTTTAGCTGCAGAGTAGTTTTGACATATGTCATGTAAATGGGATGATAATCTTGAATAAGGGATTCAGGTGCTTTGTCTTGCTTTTGAAAACACAGCCTATCTGTGTCTCATTTAAATGCATATATCTCTGTCAACAGGTCCAGTCAAAGAAAAAGACAGTTAAGGATGCAGGAGCCCAACAATGGATTTCTCCTTCTCTTTCATGCAAGGGATCATGGGAAATACAATTCAGCAACCCCCTCAGCTAATTGACTCAGCCAACATCAGACAGGAAGGCACCTGCGACACCGGCAGTGACCCGGGCGAGGATGGTGGTCCCTCCTACGATGCTTCCCTGGATGCAGAGTTCTCCTACCCGCCGTCAGCCTCGGAGGATATGCAGCAGGTCTCTAACGGTTTCCCACCCAGCCTGGGCATATACGAGCCACAGGCTAAGTTTTCCATGTACTCACAGTTCCCCAATGGCTCGGCTAATGGTTACGGGGCCATACGGAGCTACGGAGATAACAGTCTCATGTCGGGGGAGGGGACAGTTTTGAGAGGCCCTGGTTTGCAGGAGAGACCTTTATCTCCTGTGTCTCCCCCACTGCCCACACATCACCCACATCTCCACCATCACCACCATCATCACCCCCATCACCCCCATCACCACCACCACGTGCACCACTTTCACTCAAACCCACCTCACATACAAACCCACTCGCACCCACAGAGTCCACTGCCGCCTTCCCAGCACCACCTGCCCCAGACACCTCACATCATGACCCACACTCTACCCCCTCCTCCTCCATTACACCTGCCTTCCTCCAGTCCTCCTCCTTCCCTTGTGGACAGTACCCCCTCCTCTCAATCCTCCAACGCCCCGTCCATCACTCCTGGAGGGGTGCTGAAGAAAACCAGCTCCCCAGAAATCAAGCTGAAGATCATAAAGACTTATCAGAATGGAAAAGAGCTGTTTGAATCTGCGCTATGTGGAGACCTGCTACAAGAACTGCAGGTAAAACATGCATGGCAAAGCTAGTCTCATACACACACACAAGACACATTCTATCTTGTCTTTTTAAAATGTTCACTCCAACGATGCTATTAGAAGTGGAATGAATAATCTTCTATATTTTGTTAAATATATGAAATTTGTACTTGATGTTAAAGATGAAATAGTTAATCAATAATCAGTTAGACCAACAGAAAATTAATGATCATCAATTTGTGGTCGGTGTTTGACTTTTTTAATGCAGAAATATTAAATATGGTTCCATCTTTTCAAATGAGAGGGTTAGCTGTTTATGTCTGTTTTGTTTAATAATAAATGGAATATGTTTTGTTTTGTGATGGGAAGTTTGTAGTATTTTTTTTCGGACATTTTTTGAATAAAGCCAAGTTATTAGCTTTTTCTTCTAGCTTAACTGCTTTTAACCACATTTATCAGCCTTCATCAATGTCAGCATTAGCCTCTTGACTGTTTTTGCTCTGCATGCACATTTTATGGCTACAGGATTAATGTCAACATGCTTTTACCTTTGCTTGTTTTTATTAATGCCTGCAAATCAACAAAGCCACATCTAAAGATTCCACAGTCAGTAATTCAGGTTTTTATGTCAGACAAATACAGTGTCTACAAACTAAGACCTCCGAGGCAACAGCTAATTAATTCCCAGACCATGTACAAGGGGAACCAAAAGTATAATTTACATACAGTTAGTACAGCAGCCCCTGTGATAGACAGGTGACCTGTCTAGGGTGGACCCCGCCTCTCACCCAATGTCAGCTGGGATTGGCTCCAGCACTCCCCAACCCTATTCAGGAATAAGCGGTATAGATAATGGATGGGTGGATGGATAGCACTGCAGCTAACGTTTTTTAAAAGAAACTATTCATTAAACAGTTTTGTCTTCTAATCAATTAGTTGCTTGCATAGTAAAATGCTTTAAAATACTGATAATTAATAAAATAGGAGGCTGGGGTCTAAGGTGACATCTTACATAGTAATAGTTTTTGAGTAATACAGATGTTCACTTTCCTATTATGAAAAGAAGAAAATTGTCACCTTTTAGAGACTGGAACATTTTGTTGAATTTTTTTGAAAGATTACTTTAATGGTTAATATATAAAGAAATTGTTTCAGATTAATTTTCTATCTGTTAATTATGTTGCAGCTTTAAATGTAAACAATAGCATTATTAAAAGGCAGAAAAATGAAATCACGCACTAAATATAAATTTAATCTGCTAACCTGAGTGCATCCTGGTTTACTTTTAATCTTCTCAGCAGCACTTAAGAATTTGATATCTGGGAATATTTTGATTTCAGCAGAAAGTAAGATCCAATTTTGATTTCCCTTTAAAAAGAAAAAAGTTAATTGATGCTTTATCATCACTGTTTTCCTTTTTCAATTCTGTGTTTTTCAGAAGGAGTCTCAGAAGAGTGAGGTCACTCAGATGCAGCGCAGACATGAGAGGAAAAAGGAAAAGAGGAAAAAGAGCGCAAGGCTGCAGCAGCAGGTCCAGGATCAGAGTCTGGACCAGAGCCAAACACAGGCAGGTACCACAAGCCAGACAGAGGACGCCCACGTCCAGCCCCGGCTGAGAGAACCATCACCGGCCCAGACAGAGAAGCCTCAGAAGACTGTTATCAAAACTGAACCAAAGATGCCGAAGGTGCAAGCAAAACATTTGGCAAACATATCTGTCAGTGTCTGGATTTTGAAAACACACCAGTGACTTGCTGATGTTCGTGTTCAGGTTCCGAAGGTCCATCATCCATCAGTGATCCAGGAGACGGGCTTTTGTAAGGAGTTTGTGATAGGAGATCTGGTGTGGTCCAAGGTGGGCACCTACCCCTGGTGGCCCTGCATGGTCTCCTCTGACCCACAGATGAAGGTCCACACTCGCATCAACACCAGAGGTAAGGGAGCTCTGCATGTTTTCTCTCACAAATGTAGGAATGTCTGAAGATATTGACGCCACAGCTTATTGTCCTGACTCTCTGTTGCTGTGTAGGTCACAGGGAGTATCATGTCCAGTTCTTTGGCAGCGTGGCTGAGCGAGCATGGATCCATGAGAAGAGGATAGTCATGTACCAGGGGAAGCAACAGTTCGATGAACTTCAGGCTGAGACTCTGCGCAAGACCACAAACCCTGTAGAGAGACACAAAGTACGTCCACATGCTCTAAGAAATGTCAGACTGATCCAGTGTTAAAAATATCTAAACTGAGGAGTGTTGTTTTCAGATGCTATGTGGGCATTTTTAGGGAAGAGTCATTAAATTGATAGATCCACCAGCCTTTGCTCTGCTTTAACACTGGTGTCCTCCCACTTCAGTGCATTGTATTATTAGGTTCCATTTTTTTATTTAAAAAATTGTGGTGTACTTTAAATGTGGACTGATCACAAAAATGACAAATGTGCTTCAGAATTGAACAAGAGAAAATTGTATTATAAAAATACCACTTGAACTGCAAATCCTTTGGAATTGGAATCTTTTGAAAGAATCATTTTACCACTTCTGTTGGTTTTCTCTTCAGCTTTCTCTCATCAGAAAGATATTTTGAGCTTTCCTCTCCACAAGACGACATTGAATGACTGAATTTTAATGATGTCATGACATCATGTGCAACATTTGCTTTCCTGAACACATTAACTTGCCAATTTGAAGGTCTTTTTTTTTTTTTTTTTTAAATAACATTTTCAGTCATCATGAGTCATCCTTATTCAGGTAACTTGTATCCTTTATGTCATTAAAGTATTTTATGTGAGCAGCAGAAAGCATTGATTTCTGGGGGGGGGGGGCAAATCTCTGGGTGGACAATTAATTTAGAAACTATAAAACAAATCAGACTTGTTGTTGTTGAAAGTCTGAGCACACTTTGTAATAACACCAGTTTTTAAATGATCCCACTCATGTTTATTGCGTTATGTTTTTTAAACAGAGACACATTTGGATAAGCTGACGTTGATGTCAGTTTTACTGTGAGAGTAGGTTGTCTTTTTAGAAAAAAAATGAATAATTTCTTCTTGACATTTGTTCTCCAGCTCCTGAAACCCATCCCTCAGCGGGAGCGTTCTCAGTGGGAGGTGGGTGTGGGCCACGCCGAGGATGCCTTTGTGATGACACGGCAGGAGCGAATTGACAACTACACCTTCATCTATGTTGACCCAGACCCTACTGAGGCCCCGCCCAGCAAGAAGCCCAACATCAGAGCTGAGAAACGAAATCGGCGCTCCAGCGGCTCAGTCAGTAAGAAGGAAGACAGAGGAGTGAAGTCACCAGACAGAGAGCAGCCACTGCGAAGGCTGCTGCCACGCAGACAGTGTAGTGTTTCAAACACAGAAGATAGCACAAACCTCCAGGCCTCAAATGAAGAGAAGAACCAGAGGGGAGACCAGCGTAGGATCAGCTCTCCAAAAGTGAATGCCGGCTGTGATGCACGAGCACGGCAGGACTCGCCACCACCAGTCAAGCCCTGGAAAACAGCAGCCGCCAGAAAGCTGCTGCCTCTCTCCATCACGATGAAGAGGCTAAATGTGGAGATCACAAAGTGTGACTGGCCTCTCTTGCAGAAAAAAGCTGCTCCCTCTCCAAAAAAAGACAAAGAAGAGAAGGAGGAGCGAGTGGAGAGAGAGGCCAGGCAGCCAGACCTGGGCTACTGCTCGCCTGAGGTTGGTGTAACAGTCAAAACAGACAAAAAATGTATACATGACATAATTGTCATGTAACATCTT